TAAAGTTCATGATATAATAAAATAGATGAATAATAATGATAATAATAATATCAATCAAAATGTTAGTCAAAAATTAGTTTTATACTTATAAGACGAGCTTTTTAAAATATCTAAACTTGTTATTTTATTTTTATTTACAGAAATAGTATAGGTAGAATAGAAGTCGTATATTTATTATTCATGAATCATGATGGATAAATTATGACGAAGTTGCTTATTATTGCTTATCAAAAATATTGTTTGAATCAGTAACAAAAACCATCCATTATCGTAATTTATAATATTAGGACCGCAATATAATACATCGAAACATGATATTACAGTCCTAACTCCCTTATAATTAAATACAACATGGAGAACCCCTGAAAACGAAATAAAAATTCGACTACCTAACCAATATAGTGGGACGCAATTAGTGTACCTTTTTTACGGGACGCAACTAAGGTGCCCCGCTCTAGACAACCTAATACAAACTTTTTTACAGCTTCTGAATATCAAACACCTCCGAATAGTGGAAAAAACCACTGCTACTGAGTGTTCGGTATTTAGAGGTTTCAATGTATTAAATACTCATAATTGAGAAATTATTTTTTTATCATAAATCAAAATTGCTATTAGTTTGATACCTAATAAATTTAAATTTATTTCAATAGGCGATAGCAAATACTATTTGATATCAATAAATGGTGTTTTATAATAATAAAAAGTGTTAAAATTTTGGTGTAGTAATTCGAGGAGGGCGAATCTCCCAAATGTTTGTGTTCAATACATTTTCAGTTGGAAAAAACTACGACAGCGGTGAATGATGATGCAACTTGCTAAAATAAATTTTCTATGCAATATTGACATACAATAGTGATGTCTAGACATATAGTTATTAGTATCATTATTAATTAATTTATTATTACAAATAATTTTTTGGGAACAGAGACATATTATGTTTCTATTTTTATAAGCCCCTTTTGTAGCTGGCACCTCCAAACATATGATAAAATTTCGGGTACTGTGAGGGGCAGAGGGTTCATTCAGATGTTTCACTGTATATATAATGTATTTTCCCAGGTTCCAAATTAGTTAAAACAGGTTTTTTAACACTATTCGACACTTAAACACTATTTTGACACATTAATATTACACTGTACAGACACATACCACAGTGCTTAACATCTAGATCCAACTTATATTTGACCTCGTTGTACCAACCAAATTGTAGAAAATGTAATGTTCTACAACTTTGTAGTACACTATAGAGCACAAAATATGCTTAGTTTACGATATTCCATATACGCTGATTACTTCGACGTAGGTACATAATAAAAGAACAAATAATATTATAAGCACATTTAATAATCCCTGGAGTCTGGTGGTAATTGAGTCACACGGTTACCACCACTGACCCCACATTTGTCTAGTACTAAGACTTATCTATTATCATTTATCTCTTAACTTGGTTTTTGTTTTGCTACATCTGCTAAAATTTACTGACTAAGCCTTAATACTAAATATTGTTACATAGGTACATGTTTACTTAACCTAGTTAATATTTTCAACATAAATAATTTTTATATTTATGCATGATACAATATACCCCAATGTAACGTAAAATATGTCCTCATTGTCCTCATATTTAAAAATAATTATTTCAGTTAAGAATGAAATTTAAATTATATGAGTTGTGTACGTTTAAAAGGAAATTGAAGTTGATGCTATTGCGTGGTCAATAAAGTAGTGTTTTTATGTTTATTGATCTTCTCTCAAAGAAGTTTTTTATGAATATAAATGTAGTTGTTGTCATCCAAAAAAAGCAGTAATTGTTGGATCATATGAGTGGTTATGAGTTGTGTTGTGTAGGTTGGTTGATTATTTTTGTATTTCGGTGTGTCTATAATGAACGATGGTGTTTTAAATCTCCCGATGTGATATTTTATCACAATTATATAGTCATATTGCAACTTTTATTAATGTCAAGGTTAAAAAAAATGTAAGCCTGAGCAAATATAAACACAATCGAGAAAAAAACACGAAACCTAATTCAACCAAAAGGGTGTAAGATGACAAATGACAACATGATTGCTAAGGATAAAAAAAAAACAATATTTTTCAATATAAGTTCGATTTTACAGTAATTTTGTACATAAATAACAAAATGTTGTTATATATGCTACAAAAGAAAGGTGTTATTTAAAGGCTAAAAATAATAGATACTTATAAATGTGTTATCACTATGATTTGCTTATACACCAACAATTAAACAATCGATTGAACTCATAGTTTCATATTGAAATGAGAAATATGTTGCATTAACAAAAAAAGGTATAATAATTACAATTTTTGTTAGGTTTTAAAATTTAACATTCGACGCGACCACAGGTGATATGGCCAGTCTTAGGAGAGATATCGAGAAATTAATGAAAAAATTGCACGGTACAAGGAATTTGAACCCGCGACCCACGCGCTGAACTGCCGGACGCACAAAACTGGGCCACTGCGAATTATTCATTGAATTTCGATATTCCCCCTTTAGGCCAAAGTGGCAAAGTGCACGGTTGAGAGAGTGATGAGGCGCTGGGGCTGTGTCACATTAAACATTACGAACACATAATTCATAAACATAAATAATGGAATCAAAAAACATTTAATGTAGCATTACAGAATAACAAACAAATTAATATGCAGTATTAACTATTTGGTAACTATAATTTCACAATATTGATAGGTAAGTATGTAATTAATAGGACTCGGAAGTTAATGCACTTAAAAATTACTAAATATGCATGCTCCTATGCGCTTAAAAAAGAATAAATATGCTTTAAAAATATGCACTTATATTTTATTTTTTGACATAAAATTTTCATTTGCAGAAATATTTTATAAAATTATAAATATGGAAAAAGCAAAGTAATAAAAATAATTTTGATTTTTAATTTTTAATCATAATTTAAACAACAAAAAAATTATATAAAAATACCTCCAAAATGTTCCTTGAATAAAATAAATACGTATAAGTCGGAACCGACAATAATAATATCTCGACAGTAGGTCTATCTTTTTATTTTATTTTATTTTTAAGTCTAATAATGCCATCAGCTCAATAATCATTGAATTATTTCCCTAGAAAAATATTCATAGAAAATCATCGTATTTCTATTGCAGCTGTTTCTGCTTTATATTTATTTAATTTTTATATAATATTCTATTTTAGATAAAGCAAGCTGTAGTCATAATTTATAAATATTTATACAATCTATTAATCAACAGAAGAAAAACATTGTTTTTGATGCCAAATGGAAATTTAAAAAATACGATACAAGATTATCTAATAAATTCTTTCAATATGAATTTATTTATTTTTTTATTTACGAATCTTCATATATTATAATTTATAAAATATACTCTAAAAAAATGTAAATTAAGAACTATGCTCTAAACTCTAAAAAATCATTAAATATGCAAAAATATGCACCATAAACTTTTGATATGTTTTTCGTAGTGTCTTAGAATGAATTTCTAGCTCACTTAGCAATAAATTTAAAGGTCCAAAAATAACATGCAAATGCAACAACTTCCGAGCCCTAGTAATTAATTATGATATATCTATGTTAAAAGTTGCACCAGATAAAATATTTTGGTAAATTTGAGAGCTAAATATATCATTTACATTCCTAAAAATCTAATTATTTGCATAGACAGAAAAAAACATAGTTAATAGATTTGATGTTAAAAAATTATATCATTTGTATAAATCATAAATAAATTTGTGTAAGCTCAACATTATGTACGTATGATTTCAAATCATTAAAATTATTAAAATAATATTTATTTATTTTAAGTATTCTACATAATTTGATTGCAATTGAAATAGTATTTTTCATGCTAAAATACTATTTCAATAATTAATTATTAATATTTGTTTTATAGCATGTATCATAAATATGATTAACATATTACACAGTATTAGCCATTAGGTATTTTTAAATTTTTGAAAGATAGTAATAAACTAATAGCTAATAACTTCTTATGGTACAAACATTTAGTAGATTATAAACACTGTATGCAAGTTCATTGTTGGTAAACTTAGGTATATTAAAAATAAATTTGATTATTTTATTTAAAGTAATATTGAAAGAATGAATATGAAACTCATACGCTTGTCCTCAAAAGACGTGATCACGTCATGTTAATACAAACACTCGTATTCAAGAAAATTGTGCCAAGGGTTAATATACCCGAATAAACAAGCACAAAAATAAATAACGTGAGGACTTCAGGCATCAAACTGACAAACCGTCCAAACCACTCGTATACAACGAAAAAAACCAAAGTCAGTGCACACACACATAAATGTTTAGTTAAAAATATCTTGTGTATAAATCACATACACGCACAGCAGACACACACAGACACAGACACAGACACAGACACAGATACAGACACAGACACAGACACAGACACAGACACAGACACAGACACAGATACAGACACAGACACAGACACAGACACAGACACAGACACAGACCCAGACACAGACACACAGACACACCACACACACTCAACATTGTTGTAGAGTAAGGAGCCACGGGTTGGGTCTTGGGTGCCGCTTTGTCGTATACACCGATTACAAAAAATATTATAAGCACATTTAATAAAGATTAGTGTCTGGTGGTAATCGAGTCACGCTATCATCACCACTGACTCCACATTTGTCTAGTACATGCACTGCACCACCAATATATTTTGGGTGGGTTTTTCAGCAAGTTACTCATAGTAAATTATAAATAAAAATAATTTACAGGTAATGAACTCGTTAGTATTTAGGCAGACTTATTTATGTAGCTTACGCCCTACAGCTTAAAACCACAATAATGATATTGATTAAGGTACTTAAGGCCAGTTGTACCGTCTCCAATAAAAGTTTAATCGGCCGAATTTGGCCGGTTTTAAATCTACTATTAGCTGATTAACTATTAAGCGTAATCGAAGTGCAACCGGATCTTAATAGAATAGCGGCATACAACTCATTACTAATATTACTATATAACGTTTTTAAAATATTTTTCGTTATCATAATTATTGGAGATTTATTAATAGGAAACTGCGAGTTATCGTATTGATAAACTCTGACTAAACATTCGTCACAGTTGACAATTAACAACACCACAACCGTATGACCGAAAAGTGCTTCTTCTAGACGTTTAAACGTTTTTATGTTTTCTCAATTTCTCATCATATGTGAGCATTGAGCATTTCCTTTTTCATAAGCAGTTTTGTTTATTTTTATTTTTTTACCATGTCTGTCGCCGAAGAATGTTTATGTGGTAAAAAAAAAAATAGTTTAAATCCGACGAATTGTGCACGACATATAAATGCGTTTAAAACAATAAAACACAACAATTCTTCTTCAAATATTAATACATTTTTTAAAAGATGTACGACGTTTTCGAGTAATTCTACTGAACATACATTTGATGCAAAACAATTTAAAAAATCTGGTAAGTGTTATGATATATTACATATTTGTACTACCTATTTAAATTATTTAAATTAGGTATAACTATATAATAATATATTATGTATAGATACCTACCTATATATTTTAATCATTTTTAAATGTATGTAATTTTGGTAAAAATTATGTGAAAATGTATTGGTAGTTACATAGTATGTATAATACTTAAATATTTAAATATTTAATCATTAATTATTAAAGTCAATATTAATTAGATATATTAATATATCAATTATTTAATTATGTGATTTCAGATTGTAGTTATTTTTTTTAAATAAGAGATTTAAATAGTGATTTTGTTTACTTAATTAACTGTGAAATATGTAGTTCCTAGATGTTTACTGTTTAGCTATAGTCATTTTAATGACAATTTAATTCATATTCAATCAATTATATTTTATAAGAAAATATAAATAAAAGAGTAGGTACATACTTTTTATTTGATTCATTACTAAATACAATGTATGTTTATGTTTTATTATTTTATTAATAAGAAGGTAAGTAAAAAAAATGTTACACAATCATTGTGTACAGTTAATATTAAAAGTTTAAACAACTAAACTGAAGCATAGATTAAATATACTAGTATATTTAATCTATGACTGAAGTAAGTAAAAAATTAGGTACTTATATGAAAAACCTTAAAAAATAAATGTTTATTTGTTATTTGTGGTTTAGGGGGAGGGGGGGGGGTGTTTATATTGTCTTGCACCACTAAATATAATACATTCAAACCGCCTCTGAGTAAATCTATAATCATTTAACTTGGTTTTTGTTTTGCTACATCTGCTAAAACTTACTGACTAAGACTTAATACTAAATATTGTTACATACATGTTTACTTAACCTAGTTAATATTTTAATATTTATGCAACGGAGATATAAGAGAAAAACTAAAAAGAGTCCAAAAGTTAGCATAGGTTTGTCGGGATCGAAAATTTAGGATAGGTATTCTAGAGTAATCAGTACTGGTGTGCAAACAGACATTTAACAATATTGGATACTAATAACTAGTAATAAGTAACAATAAGTTGAATTTAGTTTTAAATTTAGTCAAAAACCAATTACTTGTAAATATTAAATTTCATCGTTAAATTTCATATGCCAATTTCGTAATTAGAAAAAAATTTTCTAAATAAATTGTTTAGAAAAAAATACTCTATCCGAATATGTAAAAAAAAATTGGTGTTACCATTTAAAAAATAAAGTATCGTGCATGCGCGTATCGAAAGTGTTAAAAATTTGAAATTTATCTAAAAATGTGTATTTATAAGTACTATCTGTCATTCAGCGAAAACCTCATTTCAGTACAACATCATCGAACTGAAATATTTAGTGGTACCTCTTAGCTTGAACACACTATATGTATATGGTTTTAGTGAAAAATATTTTACTTCTTAGGTATAATAGGTTGTATGTATAAATGTATATTTTTAGTAACATAAAATAATCATGTAACGCCTTTATAGGAATACACATAATACAAATTTAGATAATGAATTGAGTGATAAATTTAGGTATCTATTGTTTTTTTAAATTTTTTACAATGATGTTTTTCATGTATCTGTCACAAATCAATGAATTCATAATAAAATATAGATATGTATCAATATAATATGCATTATAAATGTATTATCCTATACCTAATGTATTTCTATTAATTGTAAATGTATTCTTTTTCTATACCATATAGCTATAAGTTTCTACTTAGTGTAATAATGTATTCCTAAGTAATAACTTATAATTGTGTAAAATTTATTGTAGCCAATAGTCCCAGTAACCGAAGCAGTTATAATCACTAAAAATAAAATCAATGAATTTTCATGAAATTCAAATTTAATATTTCCATTACAATAAGGACCAAGATGGTTCATTCAAACCTATTTCACTTTGCACCCGAATCATGTTACAGTTTAGGCGCTGGTGTTCAGACGCCGAAATGAAAAAAAAACAAATTATTTAATACGGGTGTTCAGTAGTCTAGAAAAAGTATTATTTTTATAGTTATTTTTTGTTGCATGTTTAGTGTTTAGATATAAATTATATTTATTGTATTTGATCACTGTCAATATTCTAGTATAGTTCAGTTTTTGACACAAGACCATACGCATATAAAGTAATAATTTGTAGTTTAATTATATAATTTAATATTTGTTTCATTGGCACCATAATGTTCAAAAATCCACATTTTTTCTGCACCATTAATAGTAAGGGGATTCATCACACGCATACCTAAAATTATTAATTGCTGGACACAAGGTGACTCATACTGATTGTTCCTTTGTATGTTTTCAATCAAAATACTTCGACGTCATTAAAGAATAAAGATAGTATAAATACGAATATCTATTCTCCTGCATCGAATAGTGTTGTTGTTATCTAATTGACCTAACGATTATATAGGGTGTTTCATAAAAAAGGCAGCTTTTAATTCTGCTCTTTAATTTTGCAGTTGTTCTGTCTCTTCAAATTTATTGACCAGCCTCGTTATTGTAGCTGCGGTCGGTGTTCAAAGATCGTACTAAGCTTCCTACGAACACTTACCGCAACGGCGCAACACACTTGCCGTATTTATAATGGGTTTTAATGTATGAAACACATTGCTCGATTGTATACCGCTTTATAACGAGAAATAAACAAAATACACAATATTAGTTTGATCAATCATTAAAAACCTCAACATCCATAAGTAACAGAAATAATAAGAAAAATGTCAACATTTCACCAATAACAAAAAAAATTACACAGAATTTCAAAATCTTCGTTTCTTATTAGATACCCTATATTACAAATAATCACATAAACACAAATATATAAGACATTCTAGTTTTGTAACTTGTGAGTTGTAATTGTCCAAGACAACATTATAATATCTATTTTAATATTAAATATATAAATATTTTATAAATTTATAATGTATATTTAAGTTACAATTTAAATCTTTAGTACCTAGTGAACTAAATAAATAATATTGTATTATAGTTTCATTTTATAAAAATACATTAATATAACTTGTTTGAAGACACAAAAACAATTTTTAAGAAAAAAAATATAAAATTATATCATATAAAATAAATCATAATAAATTAAACTATTGTTATTATTTATAAATAAATATTTGACTTATACAGTTATTATACACGGATAATTATCGGCAATTATGAAGTTCCAGAATATTCTTACTCCTTCTCCATTTACTCGAGTTAAATTTAAGGATAGTTAAACACGTTTCCAAAATGGCAAAATAATTTCAGTGCTACCCATATCCAACAAAATGTTAATATGTATTAACATTTGGTCAACATTTCAAGTATCTATAAGAATACTCGTATTGAGTTATAACAAAATAAAGAAATCGATTTTGTAAAAAATTGGTTTTGCATAAAAATGCCCACTTCTCCATATTTTTTTTATATTAATAATTAATATGCAAGGCTCCTTATAAGTGGATTTCGTCAAAATTCAACAACTGTTGTAATAATTCTCCATCCACTTGATAACAATTTCAATCCACAATCATTTCATATCCATTTAAGACATAAGCATGTTTGACTCATTTAAAAATGACAACCTCGATTTTTGACGTTGGAAAATAGTAAAACAAGCTTTAAAATTGTTACCATGAAAATCACTCAAAAAAATTGATTCAAAATATGTATTACATATAAAATAGTGGTAGGGGGCTCTAAGCTCCCCACTAAATTTCAACAGCCTAAGGGGGGGAGGGAGTAGTGGTAGCTTTAGCGGGCTACAAAAAAACAGCGGCGTCCCGACTACTGCTTTTAACGTTCATATTTTGTTAATATACTTATTAATTGTTGTATAATATTACTATATTAGTTGTTTATATACAATGGTGGGTGGTGAGTACCTATGTATTTACAAAACTGCATTTAACTGAAATATAGATACTAACTATGCAATGATTGCTGCACGACACACGATTGATTATCTGTGACTGTTTTCGCGATCAATAAATTTCTTACAAATAAAAAGGTTATTTCGACTGGATCATTATTTTACGCCCTTATTTGGGTACCTAAAATTCTTATATTATCTTACTATCTATGTCTTGTACTTATGGTTATTAGGTATGTTTATTTTTTTTTTATTAGGGGGGAACCCTCTAATATAGGTCATTGGGTGTGGGGTGGTACAGTAGGAAATTTTTTGTATAGGTTTATTAGACTTTTATGTTGGTAAGATTGTAACTCGTGTTTGTGCATGTGTGGCAAGGATACGTTTCTAAAAAGCTGGGAGGCCACCAATCCTGGAGCTACCAATGTCCGGTATGTACACTCGGAGCTTTTCCTTAGATTGAGCGTATGTTTACGACCACGCCTAACCAAGCTATGTATATTTATTATGAAGTTGAAAGTCTGCAAGCTTAATGGTGGTGATCGCTACACAAACCGAAATCAGTCGCGTATATTTTAGTCCCACTATCATCGAACAATTGTTAATTGTCTTTTCTCCTACTCACATCTCGTTGAGCGAGGATTCAGTGCTGTTATGGATCTAATTAAGAAAAAGAGAAATCGACTTGACATATTGACTAAAAAATATAGAAAATATAAAAATAATTTTTCAAAATAAATGTAATATTAAGTTCTTTATGTAGTAAAAAAATCCAAATGAAATTCAAGGTCATATGTATTTTATGTTATTCTTAATCGTTGAATACTGTATGTTAATTGTTAACATAGGTCCTAATATCCAATATTTCGATTTTTTTTCAGATACTAATAAACCTGTTACTGTGCTACCTATTTAAAAAGTAAAGATAAACTTTTATATGGCGGGAATGAATCTAGGATCCCTAGTTCGGAGATTTATAACAAACATTTTACGAACAGCTGTACGTATTAGTACAAATTGATTACTAAATACTGGCGCCGTATTATTAGTATTCCTAATAATATTAAAATGGCCTATACACCAAGTACAATGGGAAGTATTGGACGCTAATTGGGGTTTCAGTAGTTGCTACCAGGAGCACTGCTGCATGCAATACGTCGGTTTGCATTGTAGCATTTTTCACCTAAATGGCAACCGGATTGCTCATTACCGTCAATCGTTTTTGTGTGTGCACCGAACGCGTTCAGTGCTACTCAGGGCGCATTGCTTGTATGGACTTCATTTTTTGGTACCCCGACAATTTTTTTACAATATACACCATCAACCATCACACATCGGTAAGTAACATAATCATTAAAATTATCTATTAATTTTTTTTTTTGTAACACGAATATTTAATATAGATTAATATAGACATAATAATTATAGATCTGTAGAGGCTTAACATTTTCACCGAATACTGATATCAACATTTGCAGGGCATGAAATATTTTAGCTCTTTTTTGTGCCCTTTTCCTATTAATATGTATTTTTTCAATTTTTGCTGTGTGATAAAATTTGTATGTTTAGATAAATTAACATTATAATGTAATATAAGGTTCATCATAAATATTTCCTACAATAATTAAAAAATATCGTTAATAAACATCATAGCCCCAATATTATTCTATTCACCTTAAAGCTTTACATTTCCATTATATTCTTTAAATCATGAAGTTCATTCTAATGTGTAAATAATTGGCCATATAAAATTCATACGAATTTGAATATTCATACCTTAAGTTTCAAAACTTAGTACTAGTTTTTATATACGTTTTTGTTACTAGAATCGTAATAAAAAGATAAGTGTTAAATATATTTTAGGAACGTCTAAAGTTTTAACTTTGACGAAATTGAATAATATTAGCGGTTTTAATTTTTAGTTTTGATTAAAGAATACCTTATTTTCATTTTATATAGTACTTAATAAAGTGATGATAAAAATATTTAGGACTATTGAACTACTATTGACAGTGTCATTAGACATTGGACTTATGTTTTTTCTGCATTGTATATAAATATCTACCTACCCATAAATAAATAAATTTTTGTATTGTAAAAAAAAGACAAAATATGGAGATAATAATATATCGCATCAAATATACGCAACTAACTACTTGTCTTATGTTTTATATTCTTATCTTTTTTTAGTTTTGGATCATATTATAAGTTGTTAAGTCGAATTTTTATTTCAACTAACCAGGGATCGGCAAAATACTCGAAAATCAGTACCGCGATACTAGATACTAGATATTAAAATTTAAATATTTAGATATTCGATACCCGTTACTTTAAATACAATAAGTCACACGATTTTCAAATATTTTATTCAAACACAATTTTATTGACTATATATATATTAATTAGTTAATATAAACCACATATTTAATAACTTCATAAAAATATTATACAACACAATTGATTATTGTCATGTATATTTTAATACTATTAATACTACTAATTATTAAACTTGTTGTGTGTATACTGATTTCTGTGTAGCCTATGGCATTTGTGTAAAAAATATTTTCGTACGTATCTATAGTATCTACTAATCTTATCGTGTTCATTACATACTTTATCGCCGTCATCGGGCATTCGAAAGGTAGACTATACAGATACATGTACGATGCACTAATGCACTACCAATGTACAGATTTCAGATATATAATATAGCCATATTCATATAGGTACCTATAGTAAAGACTTAAAGTCCCGTTCAAATTGCATTTGGGGTGTGTCACATTCCACAGATATAACTAAATAGTAAATATGGCTAATGGGTTGAAAAAAAATTTCCCAAAAGTTGTAGGGTACAGCTTTCGTAAAATCACCTTTAACTACGAATTTGTATTTGTATTTGCAAGATAAAATTAATTATGATAGTAAAAATCAGAGTTGTTGTTAATTTGAAATTAGTTAATACTGCAATTAAATTGTGATATACATAAATTTAAATTTTCCTCGCCTTTTACACATATTAGGTATATACAATAAAACATAGTCGAACAGTCGTGGTGGGTATGCACACTATGTACTAGTGTACTATTACTAGGTAGATGAATGAAAATAATTGTAAACAATTAATTTTCAAAGTACCTATCGGGTATATTTCGATTAAATAATTTTATGAAATACTCGATACATTGACCGAATATGTATCGAGATACAAGACACTCGATACTTCATATAATTGTATCAAGATGTAAGATACAAGATACAATTGTATTTAAGATACTGCACAACCCTGAAACCTACTATATTATATATATAATAAACCTACTATATTATATTACTATATTATTTTTCATACTAGTTAATCTCGCACACTTTGTTGCCTGTATAAAAGACAACTCTTAAAAAATTATGATTGTTCAACTCCTTTTGGGTGTAACTCGCTGTAAGTGAAACTCACCCATCCTGGTAGGCAATCCGGATGGCGGACAATGCCCGATTAACCAATAGCAACCAATATACAAAAAAAATTGTGCCAACCGCCTAATTCGTAGGAGCATATCGGCGATAAAACAAAAATATTAATTTCTAATATTATCTGCAACATGTAGATAGATTGTTTATATCTACCATTCAAAAAGAATATTTATTAATCATAATATTTAAAGCAATATTAAAATGTGTGTTACAGATAGCACCCATGGCTTCTAAAAGTAATAATTGTATAAACCGCATTTGTGATTCAATCAAAGACTTGAGAGAACCAAGAATGGCCGAAGCAACCAAAATGGTGTGCGATCACTTCGGTGTTATGTATGAACAATCCAAAAAGGTACAGTAATACATTTTTTATTATTTTTCACAAACATTTAACAATGTATATTATCGCCTGTAGCATTGTGAAATAATCAAATAATGCTTCAAAAAATAAAAATGTATTTAAATACTTATAATTTTAATACTTTTTCTTTTTAGTTAATATATTTTATATTTTTAATATAATCATGAAAAAAAATTATTGAGAATAATTATCATAGTCGTTTATTAAGTCGTATATTAACTAATTATTATTGAGTGAATCGACCTATTATGAAGTTGATAGTAAGAACATTATCTGTGTTTGTATGTGTATGGTTTTTTTTACGATAATTCAGTTTTTATGTGATTATAAGTATGTAAAATATTAATATTTGAAAATGCTCATAATGTACTTAAAAATTAAAATATCCTAAAAAACCGATCGAGAGAACACAGATAATGTTTTGTCCAGTATGCCAGGTATACTTAAAAAAATATTTCAAAAAACATTGCACACATCGCGTGAACAAAAAATTGTAAGTGTGTTGGTGAAACGGTGCTAAAATTCAAATTGTTGTCTTTAACATCCATTGTATTACCATGAGTGATTTTTGGAATTAAAATTTCGTACACTAGAGCTATATCCAAGTTTGAAATTACACTATTGTGAAAATGTAAGTAACTGTGGATTTGCATTCATGAAAAATATAATATAATGCACCATCTACCTATTTACAAGTAACATAGGTATTATACTTCATAGTAATAAAAATAATAATACTAATAACAATTAATAAAAAATAATGCTAATAAAATTTTTTTTATTTATTAATTATTACCATATTATTAATTAGTCGTTACAGTTCACACAAAAAACTTGTAAATAAAATAATTAATATTATTTAGTATTTTATACTGAAGTCATTCTAATATGTAGTAATTTGTCAAACAGTTAAAATTAACGAAAAAAACCGAATAAGACAAAAGTTAAATAACTGCGCCAGAAAGTTGAATAATTAAATCTTAGAGTCTCTACGCTATAGTGAGTGTGCCAACTACATGGGCGTTACTTAACCAGCTTATTATTTTATTAAAATTGATTTATGATTTCTTAATTGTCTTAAACTTTCACAATTTATACCAGAGATCAACAAGCATCAACCACATACATAACTATTTTCCCATATACAATCATATCACATATATACTATTCATATAGTTACATAATAAACAGTATATGACCTAGGTCTAGGAAGGCAGTAACTGAACTTAAAAGTTCCAGTTCAGGACGAAGAATCTTTAAAATATTAGAAGCTGGAACCGGAATTGAAACATTTATTTAGTCCAATAAAAATCACCGGAACTTTAACAGAATTTTTAAATAAAATAGGTTTTCTTAGAAGCTTTTCAGAATAAAATTATATAATCATATTATATCCTAATTTATTAGTATTATTGCGATATGAATAATAAAAACTGAAAATTTGAAATAAATTATACTAAATAATAGTTTTTGTGACTACAGGCACGTAAATGGATGCTTATTTTTTTTTTTTTTTAGGGGGG